ATATATATATATATATTAGTATATATATATATATATACATACACACACATATATATATATATATATCGTATATATATATATATATATAGATATATATATATAAAACGAAAGAGACTGGCAGATTGAAAAGTATAAAATCAATAGTATTTCCAGCGACTTTGATTCGGTTTCAAGGCTTCAAGATATGTCGAGTGTTGAAGAGACGTTGTGATCTTCTCTGGCTCTGTTCACCGGAATCCTTACCAACTCCGTAGTAGCACCGTTCTTCGAATATCGTCTTAGGATTTAGGGTTAGGGTTTATTAGGTGCAGTACACAGGTCAAAATAAGGTAGGAAGAGATTTATTTCGAGTGGTGGCTCGATGTTGAGCAGTTATTATTCTATCTTTTACAATGTTACTAACTATGAATGTGTTACAAATGTTACTATTAGCGACTACTATCCTGTCAACTTACTCTCGTCCCACAGGTGGTGCCTGTCCAGCCTGTCGGGCAATTGCATTCGAAACCATTGTGCCTATTACTACACGTCCCAACCACACAAGGATTAGAGTCACACTCGTTTATATCGTATTCGCAGAGATCACCATATCGACCTGGCACGCAGAGACACGTGAAAGTTCCGAAGTTGGAGTGATTGCATGTACCCCCGAAATTGCAAGGATTATTCTCACACGTGTTGTAGGACACATAGTCGCACCAGGTGCCTGTACGCCCTCCGAAGCATACGCACTGGGTCTTTGTCCCCCCCCCTTCCTTAACGACGTTGATACAATTTCCTTGGCCCGCGCACTGCTCCCCACTCACCGCACACACATTCTGCTGGTTCGCATCCAGAAGGGGAGGGATTTCGCATTTCTCTCCGCCGTATCCTGCAGGACATCTGCATATACCCACTCCGAAATGATCCTCGTCGCATGTTCCTTCCCCGCAGTCGCATGTGTATTCTTCACAATTGGCTCCGCCCCAGCCGGGCTTACATGTACATATTATTCCCAGCAACTGGTCCGTACAGGTCTTTGTGTTTTCTTTAACACACGTATTATCAGTAATGCATTCATTTATCTGCACCGCGCATCTTAAATCGGCCCTATAGCCTGGACAATTACACGTGAGACCATCTTCATTGCATTGAAAGTTGTTCTTGCAGTAATCGCCAGTTGCACATGATCCGATATATGTTTGACATTGGTTGCCTGCCCATCCCCCTGTGCAGAGACATGTATAGCTACTTCCTGTGGGTTCGCATTTGCCGCCATCACTACACGGTGAAGAAGAACAGGCGTTATTCGCATTGCATGAAAGCCCAACAGTTCCATCAGTACATACACACTGGTACGAACCGGGACTATCGGTGCAAATTCCATCTCCACAGGGCGATTCCGCACACTCGTTGACGTTGGTTCCGCACGTTGCACCGGTATAGCCAGTTCCAGAACACTCACACTTGTAGCTACCTTGTAGATCGGTGCACTTTCCTGGACCACACGGATTATTTAAACATTCATTGATGTTTACACAAGTCCCCTGGGAGAGTGTGTAGCCAGCCGAGCATGTGCAAGTATGAGAATTCAAACCATTTGTACATGTGCCCCCGGTGCCACATGGGACCGTTTCGCAGTAGTCAATCTTTGTACATGTTGAACCGTCCGGTGATAGCTGGTAACCGGTATCGCATCTGCATGTGTAATCGGAACCAGATAGTATGCAATCGCCATTTTCGCCACAGGGAAGACTTGCACACTTGTCTCCAAACTCACAACGGTCTCCTGAGTAGCCCGCATTACAGACACAGGTAAATCCCGTGGTCATTTGATTATTGACGACATTTGTACAGCTCGCCGTGTTGGGTGCGCTGCTACAAGGACTTGCCGCACATGATTCATATTGGCAGTACCTCCCCAGAAATCCAGTCGGACAGGCACAGGAGGTCCCCGTCGACGAATCGACACAAGAAGCTCCATTTCGACACAACCCTTCCCCAGATTCGGGACAATACTCAATAGGTAGCTCACAGTTGTTACCCGTAAAACCAGTGTTACCACAAGTGCACGTGTAAGAATCGCCAGAGCTGGTACACTGGCCGAATCCGCACACTCCAGTCTCTCCTATTGCTACGGAACACATATTTTGTGTAGATGCATATGATTCCATGTATTGGCTGATCAAGGTCTGTTCCGGATAACAGTTGGCAGTTGTCAGATAATAACCATCTACATTAATATCGATATCTTGAGTATGCTGTGAGATTGCAGCGCGACATGCCTCGCCGAAAATAGTAGCACCATTATTTGATGCATACATGAGTTCATTTAGGTTTGTATTATGTTGGCAGTTAAACATATGCCCCAGCTCATGGGCCAGTAAAGATACCTTGGAAAATATTGTGGCACCGACTGCCGGCTGTAACGGTGTTAGCATGCCAACATTTGCACCATTTCTACATACACCTTGTTGAACCGAAGCCCCTATCGAATTGTCTGCCAACCTCAATCCTGACAGTAGTATATTGATATCGTCTGTATTACCCTGCACATCGGTGTTAAAATTGACGAGTATATCGTTTGAAGTCATACCATCAATTCCATAGTTCCCATCCATCAATCCGCTGCTTGGCACCCGAGACTCCTCATACACTTCAAATCTGATATTTACTTGAGGAACGTAGATAGTATTCACGTGATTCAAAAGCATCATCGTGTATGTGTTAGCTTGCGCGATGGTGGCCTCTGATGTTGTCAGACTCAGTTCCTCAGCCAAAGCAATCAGGTACGCATTGTCATATGTTATTTTGAGTTGCAACGTTCGAAATATGTTGCGTCGGTTCCTTGCTGGAAGAGTTTGTGAGGAATACCCAAAGTTGGGTCCGTTAGTGAGCTCTCCATCCTCATTGAGTGCATGATCCCACGCGATTCTGTCTCCGTTTGTCTGTCGACGTTTTGGTGTCGCTCGACCTACAATGTCTTCTGGAACTAGCACTAGATCCTGAAAATCAGATACCTCTATATCCGAAGATTTATATACCATTGACATCCCCTCTCCAACTCCTTCGAAAATCCATGTATCAATACCCCAGAATACAAGCATGCTCCACACATCACCTCCGCGTGTAAGCATTGCACTACAATCAATATCGGGGTGCACTTCGGAAAAACAGCCATAGGTATATTGTAATTTTTCCCCATCAAGCGGGGCTATTGGTTGTTCATCCAGACGGAAGAGTATTTGTTCGCCTTCTATATCAACATACATTCCCACATGATCGCCACTCTTGAAGGCCTTGGTGTGTGTTTTCTCCGGTGCAATTTTAAGACCGTGCTGTTTCTGGTAAAGTAGTTCGTCCGCATCATTCTGCGCACAACTGGGATCTAACCAGTGCGCGATTAGCGCACTAATAAACAGAAACTTCAACATATGCTACTTTTCAAATTAGTGGAGCTTACAGACTCTTATGCGTCCATAATATATGCCATTAGATTTAGATATTAACAATATTCGAAAAGCAATATCATTTTTCAAATGCGGAAGCCAGCAACAGGAAATTTCCGATAAACAATGCTGCTTGCTACACGCATACTCCAACCATCACCTGTTATACTTTGCTCTAAATTCCTACTCATCAATACAAGTTTACCACGTGTGATATGCCAGTTTAATTTTATTGACTTCAACTATTACTCTAACGGGTCTATTGCGGTCTACGGCTAATCGGCTATGTATTAAAAAAGAAATGTAAAGAGTACATAATCACTACATATGTGAATACTGATTCACAGAATGTGAGAATGTCTGTGGGACGGTGCCTCGGGGGGCGACTGCCTGGTGCCGACTGGGCGTGATACTGATACATGGTGTACATATCTATACTTTTTTCCTTCTATTTGTTTTTAAAAAGAAACAAAAACAATATAAATACATACGTCAAATTTCATCATATACGAGTATTTACAGGTGGCTCTATTTTTGGTGGTTTCAAGATTTCTCGAGTTTGTTTTGTATTTTGTTAAAAAAAAGCGAACATAAATACTACTCGACAGTCTGAGACTCTAAGTCGAGTCAGTCGACACTCGACAGTCGACACTCGACACTCGACACTCGAACACTCGACAGTCAGTAGAGTGTCGAATGTCGAGTGTCGAGTGTCGACACTCAAACAACAGTCTCGGCTCTGGTTATGATGCATACATTTAAAATAAAACAATCCATATCATAGAGGCAATTAGGCACTCTCCGGCTCTCCGCCCTCCGGCCAGAGTGCTTGTGGCTCGTGAGGGCTAGCGTGGGGCGTGGGCTGTGGCTGCAGTGAGTGCAGTCACTGCGGCTGCTGCAGTGTTGTACGCTTCACTCTTTTAGGGCTCTGGACTCTGGTACTCTTCTCAAGTTCTTGGAGTCTTGGACTCTTGGCTGGTTCTGCCTTAAATTTTTGTTAAGTTCATTTTTTTCTCTAAAATAGTTTCAGCGCGAGAGCCAGAAGCCCAGAGCCCAGGCCTCAGAGGCAGGCCGGCAGCCAGAGCCCAGGTCCCACCGCTGCTAAGTGCTACATATCACTGTTATTTTGTGAAGTGTGAAGTGTGAAGTGTGAAGTGTGAAGTGTGAACTTGTAAGTGTGAGTAGTGTGAAGGGGAGTTTAGGAGGCCCGCCTGATGGCTGAGTCATGACTGTATGCAGCACTTCTTGGTATTTGCTGAGATGCTAACCTCATTGCGTTTTGCGTTGAAACGTTTATAAGTAAACTTTTATATCCATATACATAGTGGTCTTGAAATTAAATTTGGGGTCATATCCCAGGTCAGATAGGCAGACCTGTTTCTGGGCGCCGCATTAGCCCGCCAATCGATATATGCCGGTCAGTTGCTAAAGTTGACAGTTGATAACACATCGCTGATGATTTGTTTTTTTTAAAAATATAAAAAAGAACAAAAATGTCGTTTAGGGTTTGCTTGTTTCATTGGTCGGTGTTGCATTTCGTGGCCGAAATATAGGAATAGGTGTATCTATCCAGGCCGAGATAGCGGAAACTTTCAGGCCATAAAACTGGCATAAATTTCAACGTTTATATATCAAAATGTATACGGAAAATGTTAAACATTTATATCTGAAATGCTTAGCTTTATTTTATTTTATAAAACACAAATGCGGTTAGCTGAGATGGCACACTACTTCTGGATTATATTTTATATATTTTGTTTTTTTTAAAACCAAAAAATGAAAAGAAAAAAGTAAGCAACGCCCTACATATTTTGTTTTATGTTTTTAAGAAAACAATCTTTTTGTTTTGTATTGTTTTGCTCTTAATTAAATAAAATGCTGTCGTGTCAACTTTTGTGGGAATGTAGATGGTGTTGCGCGCTGTAACTGCATTAATTATTAGTGCACTTAGTTTTGGTTAGGAAAACCACTGTCAAAGTGGTAAAAACCTAGTTTATTCGCGTTCAGTCTAAAATATGTGTTATTACGGTAGAACTGATCTTATTCGCTTGTCTGCATCACCTTTCGTACGCACGTACAAATCTGAGTAACTAAGTACTTATGTATTAATACAATACAATAAAGATATGTATGTTCAAAGTTACAAGTCCTTGCCGACCTCTTTCCATCTCCGTCTCAATCGTAAGAGACATCTAGGCATGCGAGTATCACATGCTACATTCCACGGCACGCGGCTTATGCACATACAACGCGTGCCTCTGCACTCTATCGCTGAATCTGATCCATAATTGACTGTACCGCACGTGCTGACACGCGCTTACTGTCTTCCTGTGCTATATGGCACGTTATATGCTTCCCCTGTCCTTAGCAAGGTGCTAGGCACCAAGTGTCATGCTACAAGTACAGGTAGTATAGCGACTGAACTGTAAACCTCCTAACTTGAGAAGTTCAAGGATAAACTAGTGTAAACCCAAGTTTATCATAATAAACTTGGTGTTTCAATTGCTTCCTAAATTTACCCTTTCAGGGCCAAAAGTGACCCTGCTCCCAGTTTGAGGCTACTGGCTCATTGTTCTACTCAATAAATACTCATAGCCTCCTAAAGAACATGTACTTTTGCATATGTTTTTTTTAATAAATTGGTTTGTTTTTTAAAAACAAAACAAAGATTAGAATGTGAAATAAAACATTCTAAAAAAACGTTTGTTTTAAAAAATAAAAGCAAAACAAAATCGTATTTAAAAATAGTCCATGCCCCTGAAGTATTTATTTATGTATGTACATACTACAATTTTTTCTAACAAAATAAAACACCTAAATTTAGAGGGCTAAATATCAAAATATGATCCGTAAATATTTACAAATGTAAATACAGAAATAAAAGCGAAATAATTCATAGCCTCCTGATTTTGTTTTCTAAAACAAATGTCACTGTTCTTTTTTTTTGTCTTAAATACTGGAGTAAATAAATTATAATTTAAACGCAAATAACTTCTAAAGTAGAAAAATTGACTCAAAAAGGTAAGATATTTTCTATAAATCTATTTAAAAAACAAATTGTAGGAGAGGCTATAATTAATTTTATGCTCTGTCACAGTGTCACACTCACATCTATTTTCGTGTTTTTTCTTTTTTAGTTTATTTTCTCTCTAATCAAAAGTAAAGCAAAATAAACATAAATATGATACATACGTACGTCCATTTGTAGACATGCATCTAGATATTTTATTATTATTTACATACTCTCTTGTATGTGAGTAAAAGACTACAAGCATATTGTATTTCAAATAGATGATATACTGTATGTAGCCTTGTAGGTGCTAAATATGGGTTACACTGACTCCTGACGTGTCACTGATGGTGAGAAGTAATTAGTTGAGAGAAACATCGACTTCCGAGGATGAAGAAAAAAACCGTGTCTAACCTGCATTGATTGCTTGGTTACATAGTAAAGATGTGTATATAAAACAAAGTTGGACATGAAAAGTCAAGAGTGTATACACATAGGTTGGGTATGAAGTTTATGTGTACTTGGTTATGTGCACACTATGGAGTACAAGATAATCTAGCGTCTGTGTCCAGATCAATTGAAATACACACATACCCATGTACATTTTAAACATCGACCCTATATATTACTTGGAACAATTATGAAACACGTAAAGTGATCCATAAGAATCAAAATTTCAAAAGTTATGTATGTATAGATATGTACACGTGTGTGGAGTTTGGTGTATGCTGTATGGCTGCGTGGCTTATATATAATATATATAGATAT